TTAACCTTACAGATGACTTTGTTTCGAGCGTTTTGAATGGCGTGGAGCGTTATGGTCTCGCTCCGTCAACGAGAATACAACGCTATCACAACCACTGGATGGACTTGATTACAAAGTATCTTGTCTAGCAGCCACAACACGATCCAGCATGACCTCTCGCCAGTCCTTCCACTGTCCTCGCTCGTTCTCGATGAGCAAAATTAAGCGCTGCGTGCGCACGTACGAATACGCGCAATAGAGCACAACGAGCACAAGCACGGGCTGGAGATGGTCCGACACCATATCAACCAAAAGACCGCCGCCCAAGAGTCCCAGTAATGATAGAATGCCGGGAGTCGACGGTTTGGCCATGATCAGCGCATCGTCGTGGCGGTCAAAGATTTCTTCGACGTCGTCTTTGGTCGCCTTGCGATCGAGGTGTGTATACGCCGACGTGTCGATGGCGTGTGGGGCAAAGAGGCACCGTGGCGCGAGATCGATCCACTCGGCAGCGTACAGGACCGATGCGCCAAAGCAGCCGAGGACAAGTGCGACCGACATGGAAAAGTGCAAACTGATCGCCAAATTGCACTCAAGATCCAAATCTAGAGGTTTATCCGGTCGATGATTTGCTTTGTCACGGTGACGGATTGTGCGTTGCATTTCTTTTTCGTGTGCAATGTGAGAGGTTGAGCCGAACGCGGCAGTCCGATTTCAAGCAACCGAGCACGATCACGATGGACAAGGCGTCGATCCAGTACGCGTACTCTAGAGTGCTGGCGCTGGCAACTCTGTCGATGGTGGTACCGAGGTGCATTCCCGCGCAGTACCTCGGAACCGGCGCTGTCGAGACGGCCAATTGCGTCCAAGCAGACAAGTTCAAGCGGCGGCTTCATCGCGACAGCATGCACCACGCGGATTACTATGGCCGGCATGTGAACTGCTACATGATGACGTGCCTCTTTGCCATGTACGCTTCGTTGAGCGACGCTACGTGGGTGTCGTACGTTCAAGTGGGCGTGCTGCTCATCGTGCTCGTGCACGCAGCGTGCGGCGCCCTCCACGGGTTCGCACAAAAACGAGCCGCGTACCAGTGGGAGCAGTGCCGTGTCATGAACTCTGGACAAAAAAGCAAGACGCTGTGATTCAGCTTCCACCCCGTCTACCCCAACACGCGAATCATAAGGTTATCAATAGATAGCATTGGATGCGTACTAGTATCCGGATACACCGTGCGACATTATACATTATTGCACCATATTGTCTTACAATTTAGAGCAGCTACTACGCAACAGCGCAGGGCGGCAAGAGACCCTTTTCCGTCAGATCGCGAATGATAAACTGTGCTTGGATGCCGGCATTCGGACACCCTACGTCCTAACATCAGTCACGATGACAGCTTCAAAAGTACAAGTACCGCCACAGTGGTGCAAGGCCACAACTGTGTTGTCGCTCGACGCCAGCACCGGCGACCCCGACGACCCCGGCTGCGTGTCCAGCATGTAGCCCGCTTGGTTCTCGGCACACCTACAATAATATAATACAGAATCGCACCTCAACTAAATGCCCGTGGCGAACAAACCCAGAGAGAGTCACGGACGTGATCGTGCCCGGCTGATTGCTCTTGACAACGGCGAGGCGCTTCCCGCCGCCGAGAGGGTACTGGGGAATGTACACGCGTTCGTTTAGCCGTGGCCCCGCCGCGCGCAGCTGCAAAAAGCTACGTTCCAAAATGAGCCAGTTGCAATAGTCCAACATTGTTTCGTACCCAAGCTCGGACGGCACGTTGTCAAGTTGCACGAGCGCATAGTCGAGCGCTTTCGATGATGCAAGCAGGGTGCCACCCTGGACAACGATGCGGCTGGCACACGCACCCGACGCCTCGCAGTCACTTTGGCAGCTCGCACCTTGGGCCATAAACTCAAACTGCGTGTTGCGCGCGTCGCCGGCCGAGACGAGGCAGTGCTGGTTCGTGAGCACGTGGCCAGCGCAGCCGAGGAGCCAGCCCGTGCAAAAGTCCGAGCCCGACGCGCGGTTCGTAAGGAGCCGCACGACCGCCTTGGACGCAGTATACATGGCCGAGTTGATGTAGCACATGGCGTTCTTCGAGTCGTCGGTGCCGCAGAGCGACTCTTCGTTTTCGTTCTTGGGCACACGGAGACGCGCGTCGGCGTGGGTTCGAACCCCGTCGATGGCAAAACCAAAGCAGTCGCCGCCGCCGCGATGGAGCCCCATCGTATGCAGCTCGACAATCACTTGGGGCGCGTAGAGAGGCATGGCGAAAAACGCGCCGGACGACGCCGTGATACGCGCCGGCGTCATGGTCCGCGCCGTCGCATTGCGACCAATCGGGCGCAGCACAATGTAGTCGGATGGCGCCAAATGCACATGTGCAAAATGCACGAGAAGCAGCGATGCGGTCGGCTGGTTGATGCTAAACCGGAGGACGTCGTGGTGCAGCGGGTAGGCTTGCTTGGCGCCGCACCCGACACGAATTGTCAGTGGTACCATTGCCATCGCCGCCGCGTACAGCGTGAGAGCGAGCGCAACACTGAGAAGGAGGAGAAAACAGGCCATCGAGTTGAAGAGAAAAGGCAATGTGAGCTTCAGGAGACACCGCTCGAACGACCCATCATTTTGGATGCTCGATGGGAGGTCGAGCGGTGTCAGAGCTTTGACATGTGGGGACATGGTGATGGAAGCCGACACTGCATTAACGATAGCGGCGATGAATATACAGTGTTTTACATTACATTGTAGTCTTATGCATAAACGTCGTCGTGTTGCATCGTCTTTTCGACGTCGGCATCGCTGACAGCCACGTAGCCGTCGTCATTGGCGCGGAGAAGGCGCGACGACGCGACGCAGGTGCAGCCGACGACCATGAGGCCGAGAATCACGAGGTACAGAAGCCAGTCGTTGGTCGTAAAGGACGTGTACGAGTGGTAGAAGACAATATCGCCAACTACCGCCAAGCCAATCCAGAACATTTGAAAGATGGGGAGCGCGGCCATAATGTCCCCGTTGGAAAACGCGCGGTTCAAACTGTGGGTTTGGCTCGCGACGCACACAATCAACGAGACAGCGACACCGTAAAAGAGACCGTGGGAAAGCGCAAAGTACCGTCCTTGAACGGTTTGCGACAGCATCTCGACGGTGCATTTCCCGAGCAAGACGGACATGGCACCGATCGTGCCCGAGATGGCGGCAAAGCAAAGCGACTTGACACTCTCGCGCTTGGTGTGGTAGAGACGTGCGCTTAGGGTAACAAGCAAGAGCGCCTGGAGACCGACGTACGTCAAGTACACGCGCGATTCAAACAGACCTGAGAGCGCCGTCACGTCATAACTAGTCAAGACACCCAGAAGTCAGATGAGGTACCCTGGCTTGAAACGATGTCAATGTGTACCTGGCTTCGTCGCGGGAGGCCACGGCAAGAAGGATGACGGCCCCAATCAAGGACGCGATACCAAGCAGGTCGGTCTTGTGCAAGGGCTCGTGGTTGACGCATTGCGCAAAAACCACATTGGCGATGATGGTCGTGACGCCGCCCACAGCAGCAACGACCGCAGCGCGAGCAAAGCTAAAGGCGACGAGGTCGCCGACCGAGCCGAGGGTCACGAGGAGCATGCCCCACCACCAGACGCAGTGATGCGTGTACGAGATGTCCCAGTCGCCGTCCTGCGCCAGCGTCTACCCATTGTCGTCAAACTACAAGAAAGTGAGGAGCGGATAGCCTACACGATGGAGCTGTTTCTGGAGGTTGACGCCATAGTTGGAGACGACAGCGACGCCAAAGGCCTAAGCATCAGCGAAATATGAGTGAACGGGTATGGTAGACTGGCAGCAGAGACAATCGCGCCGCCAAGGAGGTTGCTGTGGCTGGCCATGCACGGAGCCGCCGATGGGTTTCACCGTGCCGCTTCAAAAGGATACTGAATGGACCAATCGCAACCACGTATTTCCAAA